GAGCGGCACCACCGGGCGATGCCCGCCCGCGTTTCCCCGCTGCGCTCCCGCTTTGCAGCATCGCCCCCGCCCGGTCCCGCTCACCCGCCCGGCTGCGGCGCCGATCAGCGCCGGGATCGGTCCCGGGAGCAGCACCGGGAGCAGCGCCGGGATCGGTCCCAGGAGCATCGCCGGGATTGGACCCAGGAGCATCGCCGGGATTGGACCCAGGAGCATCACCGGGATCGGTCCCAGGAGCAGCACCGGGTCGGACCCAGGAGCAGCACCGGGTCGGACCCAGGAGCGGCCCCGGGAGCGGCCCCGGGAGCGGCCCCATCGCCGCCGCTGCGGGGCGGGCCGGCTCCGGCTCCGGCTCCGGCTCCGGCTCCTCCCCGGGCGGCCCCAGGAGCGGCCGCGCATCCCCGCGGCTCTGTGAGCATCCGAGTGCTTCGCCCCACTGCGTTCCAGTATTCATTAATGCTCACCCTACTGAAACGTAAATTTTAAGGAATTTAGAGATTTTAGAGGAGCTAAGATTTCAGTTAGAGACAAGCCTTACTAGAGTTAATTAAAATAAATGAGTAGGCCTTGATGAAGTTAGGAGTTAGTAGTTAACTAATAATTTACTGCTTGTCAGCACAATGTTTAGTTAGCTGGGTTTATAATGAAGAATACACAAACTGACAAATAGAACATAAGACAGTTGTGGCCTCCTCTGTTCTGAAACCAATTGAAGACAAGGAATGGGAGTTCTACCTAGAGTTCATTTGTCATATTGGCACTGAAAAGGTAGAAAGGTCAGAATGAGGAAGATTTCATTGACTTCCTCATTTTGGGACCCCTCCCCATGAAAGGGACACCGACCTATTCCAAGGAACAAACCACGCATGCTGAATGGCTTTTGGAGTGATTAGCATACAAAGTGAGGAATGGGATGTACCAAAATGATGAATATGTATTTGTATTTGGGTATTCAATATTCGTATGGATAAAAGGGCTCTGTAATCACCTGGAAGCTGCGGTGTGGATTTGGGAGCAATCCCACACACAATAAACACACACTTTTTAACTTTAAACTGTTAGAGAGTTTTTGTCCGTCACAGATATTGGTACTAGATCAATATCCATATTTTTTTAATAAATCACTACCAGTCACTCGTGTATCACACACGCCAGGATAGTACAGACAGACTTTATTATCAGTTCAGCCCTTCTCCTCAGAAAAACTCTAATCCACTAAGAGCTCCGTGAGCGTCAAATGGCTTTCTTGAAAAAATATTTCTTCTAAGACAGAAATTATCAACAATTTAACATTTACATATCAAATAGGAAAAGTGTGGCCATGGCTTAAAAGCCATGTCATTTTTAATAGTGATATTACCTGCATTATTAACCAACTAACTATAACACATCCAGCAGGTTGCAATGCATATGGTTCTTTTAGAAAGCTGTTCCAGTAAAAAAAGATTAATTAATATACAGAGTAGAAATACACAATTACAGTCATTGCAGAACAGCCCCAAGCAATCACAGCCAGGCAAATGTGGTTATTCAGTTTGTGGATTCACAAACTGGTGTTCTCTAAAATAAAATATGTAGTGAAGTTAAAGTTGATGTAGAAAAGGTCAACTAAATTGACCAAGCCAGTGGAGCATCAAACTTACATGAGTAATATGAAAAGATGGGAACTCAACCTGGAGGCTTAGTTCGATCAAAGCTGAGATACAATCAATCACAAAAGCAACTTGATTGAAAAAGAAGAAATGAAAAGCAACTCACTGACTTCTGTAAGGCAACAGCTAGTGACAGAGGCCCACTTCGAAGTGCTAGAAGTCCTTTACACAGTGCATGATATCTGTAATCTTTTGCCACAGGTGCTTATGGAGGCAGATTGTACTTGGGAACTCAAAAGAGAGAAGGAAAACTAATGGTGATAAGAGAGAATAATAAAGGCTGAATCAAACTCTCTGACATCCTTAGTCCAATGCCAGCAGCAACTGCAGAACTCTGATGAATGCAAACAGCAGTTATGGTCTTCCCAACTGATCCCTTCCTGCAACTGTCAGAGATGACATTTTGGGCTCAAACTCCAGTCTGGCCCAGGGAGGTGTTTTTTTGCCCTTGTGTTCACTCTAAGACAGGAGCTGCTGCAGCTGCATCACTGTTATTACAGCACTCTGATCAGGACAAAACTACAAAGCAAGTAATGGGTTTTGTGGCTCATCTTTTTGATTATTAAGACACACTTTGTCATACTGCTCATTTTCCATTGTCCTGTGCAAAAGTATAGTCAGCACTATTACATTGACAGTTATTGAATAAGCAGCACAAAAGATTTAAAAATAGCATAACACATGCCAGTTGGCCACCAGACAGGTTTGTTTTTAAAGGATATGCAAATCTGTGTCACCATGATGATTATGAGCAATTCTAAAACAAGTAGATATTAACAATGTTATAGGAAATAACTGCTGTGCCTCTTTTTCAGTAGAGAAATAGTTTCTTTTCTTCATTTCTCTTTTTACAGGCTCCACACTGGGCTTAACACATACTTCATCCAATAGCCAGATGTTCAACCAGTTTGGCTTCCATCAGAAGAGACTGTTTTGTGCACTTACTAATGATTTGATGTAGTCAAAAAAATATGAATCAGACTTCAAAACCTAGAAAGAATGGCCTAAAGTACAGTGGACTTCAATTAGTTTTATTTGCCTTCTATTTTCAGAGCCTGTGTGGCACCTTTGATCCTAATTCCTCAAGAAACATGAAGTCCACAAACTTGAGGTTTATGCTAGGTAAAACTGAAATTATTATAATTTTCAATCAAAGGTTGAAGCCTTGAGAAAATGCTAGATTACAAAATGCCAATTACAAAATTGAAACTATTGGAATAGAAACAACATGGCTGAGTCTCAAGCTTGGCCAGAATTTTCACAACTAATAGAAGCAACCAGACATAGATTTCAATCCATTCCTTCACACTGAGAAAGCAAGCTGTGAAACTTCAGCTGACATCCAGATGTCCTCTAAATTATGCAGCTTTGATTCAAATTTGTTGTCAGTATGATACTGGGAGACAGGGAAACAGAAATATTTGATGTCAGCTGTGAAGGCAAACAGTTTGGATGATCCTCTCATTTGTTAGATGAAATAGATTCTAACTCTCCTTGTTTGAAAGTGTTTCAGTATTTTCCAGGAGTTTCCCAATAATCTAAGGCACAATGTGTTTACCTCCCTGGTCATAAATTCAGCCTTAGTGTCACACTGGATGATTCTGTGTCTTCTGTATCTCTGTGGGTTGTCACTTCTCAGTGGCAGTGGTAGGGTGGTGAAATTCCTTTCCCTCCTCTTCCACAGGAACCATTACATCATTCCCTGGAAAAGACTCTGTTTCCTGCTCTGGGTAGTGCATTTCCAATTCTTCTTCCATGCTTTCCTGGGCATCGTTACTCTCACATCCTTTAAGAGCACAGTTCTTGCCACTGGGCACTTCTGAAACAGAGCCCACGATAACAGTGTCGGCCTTCATGATGTAGAGTTTTTCTGAGGAAGGAAAAAAGTAATGCTGAGCATTGGTGAACAGTCACTGCTGCCCCAGAGGTGGCTGTTTTTCATGCAACATTTTTATTAGGACTCTGGACAGTTCAGATCTAGTGGATTGTGCTTCCATGGGATTAAGCCACCGAGCTAGAGGTGGAACTACATGAGAAAGACAAAGTGGAAAAGGCAGAAGATATTCACAAGAATCTAAGCAACTAATTGGGATCTAAAGAATCCGAGGTTTATTCTCCTGCTGTTTCAAGAAACAACACCATGTAAATGAAATCTTTGGGTAAAGATCAGCACTGTAGAGAAGTTCTGTGTTCTTAGGACTTGCAAAGAAATTAGCTTATTTCTAGATGAGAATAAACTACAAAATTTTCTGAATCTTGGGTCCAGCTTGCTGTCAAACCCCTTCACAGAAAGGTAAATAAGGACTTTTCAATGGCTTGCACCACTGCACTTAATTCGGAAGGATGCTGCACATCAGACACTGTAGGTTAATTGCTTGGAGATATTTGGATGTGGTAAATCAAATCATCACATTCATCCCAATCCATCACTCACAGTAAAACAGGAAAGGGGTTTAGTAAGGGAAGGTCAGGTTTTGTAATATGAAAAATAACACCTTTGAATAACCTCAGAACTGGGTTTGGAAGCACTGCCAGAATGTCTCATGCAGATGGAGTCTCAGGGGAGAATTCACCCCCTATGAATGAGTTCCTTGCCTGAGCTCCTTTATCTCCCCCCTGTGACATGGTTAAAGATTTTATGGGAACACATGGGAGATACGTTTCAAGCCATTATTATGAAACCAGAAAAGAAAATTATAGCTAAGTACAATTCTCCTTTGGTATCACAGCATCATCTTCCAGCTGACGTATTCAAAATTCTTCTGTAAAATCTACATATTCCAGAATGAAAAGGAGGAAGAAGGGAATTTTCTGTCAAATTTATAGTGACTAAGACAAGCATTAAAAAAAGAAAGCATTATATTTCAAATGAACAGGTATTTTTGTGTCAAAGATCTGGAGTTTCAGCACAGTCTTTGTTAGAAGATTTGGACACTGAAGTTTACTGATAATCTTAGAATGGCAGTATGTGCATTGTTTACAAATTTGAAAAAAGATGACAAAAGGAAAAAAAAAAAAGCAAGACTCACCAATTCTGTTATTTGTGTGGTCTCTGACTCGAGAATCCACAGGGCAGTCTGGGGCATTCCCAGTGCTTGGTGTCACATCAGTCACACCCCGATGAGCACTCTGGGCTTTTTCTGTGCTGGACACCAAGTTATTGTTGGTTTCCAAAGGAAGGGCTCTGTCAATTAACTCCTCCTCTTCTAGCCCACTGTCAGTGGTCAGTATGATCTTCTGCCAATATAAACAGGAGGGCAGAGGTGAGGTGAGTGTAAAAACAATTTGAATGTAGCAACAGGAACACAGAATGCTCCTGTGGCAGTCAGGATAACAGAATATACTGCCCAGCACCACTGTCACAGGGAGTGAAATGTTCCAAAGAGTGGCAAGCACATTGCTCTCACTCTCAAGATTTTTCATAGAAGTGCACAGAGAGAAATGAAAGAGAAAACAATTTCTATTTCTGCTCCTTGTTTTTCCTATGTGGAATGTGTTTAGAGAATTGTTTACTGGAGTGAGTGCTTGGCTGGATTCTGGTGAGGATTGTTTGAGCCTGATGGCCAATCCAACCCACCTGGGGCTGGACTCTCCAGAGAGGGTCACGAGTTGTGTTAAAGATAGGGTCAGAAAAAATAGTATGTAGTTTTAATATCCTCCTTTTATATAGTATATTAATGTATTTTAACATAGTTATAATAAAGAAATAATTCAGCCTTCTGAATTATTGTCATTTCTTCCCATTGGGTTCACCTACATTTACAATACCAAAGTACCTAACAGGTAGGGGAACTTCAAACTAGGCTCCTGCACCACTTAAGACCGTATTTCAAAATAGTGTTTGTCAGCTGAATTCTGATTTCTGATGACATTTAAGGAATGTATCTCATTTCTACTGAAGAAAATATGTTTTAGCTACCTCTTAGACTTTGAAAAGACCTATCATGCTCCTATGGAAGAACAGAACAAGCCAGAGGCCAAACTGATTTAACTTCAAAATGTAATTGTCACAGCAGAATGTCAGATAGAAAAACAAGCTCAGACTACCTAACACAGGAAGAATTAATTACAAGCAATTCTTTAAAAGGGGAACCAGAATCTGAGAGAGGGTAAAGGTCCTGCATCACAATTTTCTGGTGGTTCTGATCTTCTCTTTCCACAAGGTTGGGAAAGAAAAAAAAATATTTTGAAATGTGCACTTCGTAACCCTTGCTCATGTCTGACTCTATATAGAGGCAAGAATTGAAGATCCTCATTGTTAATTCAGGAATTAAGAATTACACACTGAAATTATGACAGCTGATTGCAACCAGAGTGACTGGAAAATGCAGAATCTTGTGTGTGTGCAGAGGCACAACATTTAAAAGCAAACTCATTTAAAAACAAAAAACAAAGAAACAGTCTAATGAGTGATTTAGCAGGTCTGGACATTTAAAGATAACAAGCCTAATAAACTGAGAGACTCAGAGAATGAAAGCGGCTGTAATTTCTCTAACAGAGGGGGAATCAAACCAAGCAGTGATGATTTCAGCAGCTGAGGAACTGCTTTCTGTTGCCATATTGAGTGATGCTTGTCCTGTTCATTTCCAAAATGTACTGTAACACCAGGAGCTTGTCCTGTAGGAATGACAAACCAAACCCACTGAGTACCCATTTCACAGCTGTGCCAAATCCTGCAGAGGGAAAGGGATGTGGAGGGAGAGAGAAGAAAAGCACAAATCCCATCTGTGTGACTGGAGCAGTAAGATAAAATGGGACTGACACACAAAGTTCTCCCAGAAGGAAGAAAAGGTATGTTCATGCTGTGATTTCAGATCTTGTCCCATGAATGCACCATTAATGGCTTAACACCAAATCAAATCCCCTCACAAGCAAGAGTGGCAGCTGTGGAAGAGGTTTGACAGTGATTCTCTGAGCCAGAGAGAAGTTTGATAAGAGGATCCATGTTTACCTCTAAAAGAATTTTCTACCAAGGTCGTTGACATAGAAACCAAGAAAGAAAGAAGAATAAATAAGAAAAACCTGCAACTGCCTATTCTAATCAGCACTTTGGCTTTCCTGACCAATGAGTAAACTTCTGAGTTTTGTAAGAATGTACAAAAAGCATGCATGCTAGAATAAAAACAGTTTGAAGCCTTCTGAAGATTGACTGTTGCTTTGTATTGTCTCAGTCTCAACTACGACAGGCAGCATCTCATTATTTAACACCACATTAACCTCATCTCAAGACATGAAGGTATTGAGTCCTACTACATCTCATTCCACCTAAATTATTACATATTGTAGAGGGAAGTCCAAACTAAAAGGCTGGCACTTTTTAGACAGGACATTTGAAAATAACATGATTTACTTTGGCATGGAAAGTGATCTGTTTTGGAATATTGTTCACACTTACTGCACATTTGTTCACGAGATCTGAACCTGCAATGGGAAGTAAAAAGATTATCAGAAGAAACCTCAGAAAATCACAAGAATGTTAATATATGCTCTGAAAGATCACCTAGCAATGTACTTCCTAAACCACTCCACTGCCCACCCCATATGCATGATGGTTTTATTAAAACTCAGGGAACACAGAAATGACACTCCTGAGGTGAAACAGTGAAGGTTGCTGCCAGGACTGTGATACCTACTGTCCCCAAAACCTTTTGCATCACTGTCCTCACACCACAACTGATATTCATCTCATGAAAAAATGCACTGATTAAACTGCCTAGATAAGAACAATACAAGTTTATTAAAAAGAAAAGAAAATTAATAACTTTCTACTGGATTAACAAGTTAGGTCAGTTCATCATATTGTCAGATGATTATTAAGGGGGTGGGATTTTATGCACAGTTCCATTAACAGGGAACACTGGCCAAATAAGAGAGGTGAGAAGGAGGGAGTGTACAACACTCTCTATCACCATGAAGGTAGATGGGCTCAGACTTAGTGTCTGATTTCACCCTGATCTACAGCCACCTTTATTTTCAGAGTATCAGCTCTGTAAGGCTACACAGTAATAGGCAAGGCAAGCAAGGGAGAAAAAATTCTATTTTGAGAAAATAAGGCTGCACACAAGAGGTTTTAAATTATATTCCTGAATGAATGAATATAGAAAGCTCTGCTGTGTGGTGATTAGAACCTGACACAAGAGAGCAGGGATCTGTCAGTGGCAGTGGAATTGCTGAGAGGGGATCAGCTAAATGGGTAAAAGGTTTGCACTTTATGGGATCTGGGCAGGTTTTTTTCTGAACACATCTCCCATATTTGACTGTCCCGAAATCAATCGGGTGTTTTCCAGCACTGACACATCACCCAACCCTTCAGCTGCCGTGGGAACAAAGTGACATCTGCTGGCACCTGGTGGCACCCAGCGTGTCCCCTGCCTGCTCGGGAGGAACAGGACTGGCCTTCTGCATGGCCAATTAATTTAATTTTTAAATTAAAATTCTATAGAATAAAATCCCACGTTAAACTATCTACTGATTCTGCAGACATAAGGATGGCCCACCAGTCACTCACCTTGAGACTTGAGCACGTATTTGTGTGCGATGACCGAATGCAGGTGTGCTGATAAAAGAAACCTTTCATTTATTTAGTCAAACTCACCGTGGAGCCTGAAGGCTCCAACAGCTTCACCACACCCACAGATCTACAAGCAACCTACAACGTGCACATCTTGCTTTCTGTAAAAGGGGGAATGTGGGTTTGCAGACACACCCTGCATGTATCACCAGGCAAAGCTCTGGGGAGTCAAGGTCAGTAAAAATCACCCTTCCTCTCGTGCTCAAAGCCCAGTTCTGTTCCCAGAACCAAAAACTAGTCGCACAACACTTCTGGTATCATCTAATACTAATGTCTGTGCTGAGAGAAGAAACAGCTAGTTATCTTTGCCCCTCTTGTAGGCTCCCCCTGCTTCCCTCCCTAAATTCACAGCTGCTTCCATCTTTCATGTTCTCCAACATCCTGCACGAGCAGCTTGCCTTAAACCCTTATCTGGCCTGTGGAGAACATTCTCTTCCCCAATGACCTCCACAAACATGCCCACATTTGAGTTTCCCATCTGTTTTTTGGCAGATCAAGCAGCACATCCTGTGTTACAGCTTGAAAAACTCACGCTTCCTCCTGAGGACGAGGATCCGCTTCTTGCAAACCTTCCATTTCCAAAATGCCAGCGTGCCCCCAAGAAGCACTGCCACAGAGAGAACCACTGCCCAAAGCACGACACCTGCAGCACAGAGAGGGAGCACAGCACAGGCTGAGAAAAGGCAGAGGGAAAACCCTCAGTCAATCCATGCGTTTGAACACAGGACCATCGACATCATTTCACAAGTCAGAGGGGATTTGCAGGAAGTTCCCACATTAAAAATTGTGTTTACCAAAGATACTTCCAAATAAAAAGTGCTAGAGAGTGATTGCTGTGCCTTTGTTACCTCCTGTTGTCATCTCCCCCTTGGCTGAGGTGGGAGAAGTGCCAGCTTTCTCCTCAGGAGTTGAACTGGGGTTTTCAGTTGTTGTGGCACTTAGAAGGTCACCACTAGCAGAGGTCACCAGGTTGTCCTTAAACATCCTCAGGTCAAAGTCATTTGTTTCATTGCTGAATCTCACGGACAAAGTGCTTGGGGTGAGGTAAGTGGGCAACTGGTCCAGGCAAACTTGATCATGGGTAGCATTTCCTTTCCTTAGTATTACTTTGTTCAACTTGGCACAGCTGGGTATGAAGAAGAACAAGTATCATTGTGTGGTACAAGGTACAAGTGTTTTCCAAGTCACAATTATTGCTTTCTGTGTAAAAGTCATTATTTTTCTCATCCCTGTGGTATTAATTCTTGGCCTGGATGCAAAGCTGCTACTCACACAGGTCTGCAATTCCACAGGACTTAGTAATCTAAAAATGAGGCAAGCAGGATTCCTTCCTACCCTTGTTCCTCTAGCTCAGAGCTGTGAAACAGGTTAATACTTGGTCTCTTTGAGCCAGGTATTGTAAGCTCTCAGAGATAAGTATTACACTCTAGATAGCTCAGCTACCTCAGGTGGCATAAAAGTAGCAGGATGGCTTCTGTGACAGTGTTGGAAACAAAAAAGTTTTAATAAAAGGCAAAAAATAAAGCTCTTTACAGAGAAAAACCGAGCCAGGGCAAGAGGTTCTTGCTCCTGCTAAAACACTTCACAGAAGTGATTTACTTCTTTTGTTCTCTTCTTTTTCTAGTGAATTGCTCAGGTGGGACTTTTTGGCTTCTGTCCAATTGGGTGTCCTTAAGTTTGAGGTGAAGTCTCCAAGGTCCTATGAGGTGTCTTTTAATCAAATTGAGGAGAGAAACTTCTGGGCTGTTTTCCTTATTAAGGAGACAAAGGGTAATTTGTTTCCTCTGTTAACAGGGGCACATTCCTACAACAGGTACTAAGAGAGGCCTTCTAACCTCTGCACATGAGCCCACAGTGATTCCCTTGCTTCTAAGATGGATTTGTATACTTTGCACCAGAAGTGACATGTGGGAGTCCAGGGCTTCCCTCTGGCTGCCCTGGGACCCTGGCAGGTGTCAGGAACCCCCTGGACAGAGCCCCCAGAGACACTGGCTGTGATCTCTGTCCATGGAAAAGAGTTTTCAGTCTTACAGCATGAATTACCAGCTCTGAGTGTTTGATATGAGTAATAATTAAGTGTGGCATGGGTGCAAAAGTAATATTTTAGGATTCTAGATGAGGGGTTCAAAGGGGACAAGATAGAGGAAATTGGGTGTGCCTTGTCCTTTTTCTCCTTCTTCATGCCCTCCATGTTTCACTGTGGTGTTGGCATTTTTCTGTTGGTTCAGGCTGGGGACACACTGTCCAACGTAGGTGACAGATATTGGCACGTTATTGTAAATGCAGCCCAGGGAGTTTGTGGTATTTAATGTTTGTCACATCCCACTGAGGGCAGAGCCCCACACGCTGCCCTGCAGGACAGAGCTGGGCAGGGCAGCAGAACATGTGAGAGATAAACAGAATAAACAACCTGGAAACCAGCACAGACCAATTACAACTTCTTTGGCTGTGGGGTTCAGAGACCTTCTACAATCCTGGAATCATCAATACCACAGATTCCAACAGTGACATACCCTATTTCATTCTTTATTCATTTCAATCAGTCAGTCCCATTAAAGAAGCACAGACTTACTTGGTGTGGGGTTTGCAGATGTCTGTGCTGGAGTTTTGATCCGAGAAGGTCCCAGGAGGGCACTCTTCACAAGTGACATCTTTTGTCGCGGTGCCTGAATAAAAAATCACAGCTGATGACTGACCAAACAAAACTCATCAGGTCCAGGCCTATGGCCAGGACCAGGAAAGGTGAAGTGGGCAGGTGAGAAGCCCTACCCCTGCCTTTGACGCCGAAGCCAGGCCTGCAGGCAGAGTGGGGCTGGCAGCGCGAGCAGCTGTCCACCACCTGCAGCTGGCAGAACAGCCCCGGCCGGCACTCGCACACGCGGCTGGAATTGAAGGAGCAGGGCTGCTTCTCCACCAGGTCCAGCTCTGGGGGCAAGAAACACATGCAGTGACAAAGGATCCCCTGGTAAGGGAAATGTCAACTGGGGCCAAAGCTGAGCAACACCAGTCCTAAGGCTCAGGAAGCAGGAAAAGCTGATGTCTCTTGTGGTAAGTACATTTCTGTCCGTCTTAGGATTTTTCATAGAGGTGCACAGAGAGAAATAAAAGAGAAAACAATTTCTATTTCTGATCCTTGTTTTTCCCATGTGGAATGTGTTTGGAGAATTATTTACCTGGAGTGAGTGTTTGGTTGGATTCTGGTGAGGATTGTTTGAACCTGATGGCCAATCCAATCCAATCCAATCCAATCCAATCCAATCCAATCCAACCCAATCCAACCCAACCCAACCCAATCCAATCCAACCCACCTGGGGCTGCACTCTCAAGAGAGAGTCACCAGTTGTGAGAAAGTTAGAGTCAGAGAAAGTAGTATGCAATTTTAACATCCTCCTTTTATATAACATATTAATGTATTTTAGCATAGTTATAATAAAGAAACAATTCAGCCTTCTGAATTGAGTCAGGCATCGTCATTTCTTCCCATTGAGTTTGCCTGCATTTACAATAGTGTCTCTTCATGATTGATAGTAAAAGGGTTTTAAAATCATGGGGATTTAGGGTTAAGAGGCAGATTAAGCTTAGTAGGCCCTGAAAAAAATTAATTCCCTTCGTTCCTTGAGGGCTTTTTCCTTTGTTGGACTTGCCCTTTTTTGGTTGTTCCTTGTTAATTGTTTTATTTTTTGGTTTTGTTGTTTTTTTAGTAATTAAATATAATTAATGTTTAATTGTAAGAATAATCATGAGAAACTATGGTCAGGGGCCTAAGAAAGATCACAAGAAACTCATGCTTGAATAAAGTCAATGTATACAATAGAACAATATAAGTTTAATAATTAATATGTAAGTTAGATAATGATAGAATATAAAATACACTCAAAAGCCGTGTTGGAGTTAGATTTGGGTCTGTACCCCTGATTCCCAGAGCTCTCAATAAAAGCACCTGCATAGAATCATATCCTGTGATTACGTGTGTTCCTGAACGCTAACATGATCACAGACTGGTTTGTGTTGAAGATGAGTTTAACACTGATCTCATTCCACCCCTGTCATGGGCAGGTGTTGCCCTGATTTTTAAGTGTTAAGTTTTCTTTTATAGTTCTTTTGAAAGTTTTAAAGTTCTCATAAAACTTCTTTAGCCTTCTGATAATGTTTACGTATTTGAGAGTCAGAGTTCTCACACAATTTCACGTATAAATAGAATAGTTTACTTATTTCTCTGTGGGTGGAGAGAAATGGTTGATTGATCTTTGGACCAGTGTGGTTGGAGAGGTGGTAATTCCATCGTCCAACCCATGGTCACCTTTGGAATTCTGTACCAGATGTTTGAATAAAACTGGGTCTTTTTCTCTTTTGAACTTACCAAGCTTCTGTGTGCTCATTTCATGTCCAATAGCGACAGGCAGGGACATGAAATGAGTACATTTTATGAAACAAAACCTTCCACTGTCCCAGGTTTCTCCCCAGGTTTGTCCAACCTGTCCTTGAACACCTCCAGGGATGGGGCAGCTTCTCTGGGCAAGCTGTGCCAGGGCCTCCCCACCCTCCCAGGGGAAGTGCTTCTTCCTAGTATCTAATCTAAACCTGCCCTCTTTCAGTTTAAAGCCATATGATGGTAATTTGAGTCATGAATAATTAGAGAAGCCTGTAGATAATAGCTTGCAATGTAAGACAGAAAGCAGAAACCAGCCTGGTTTCCTTGGAGGGGAGAATTTTTAGGTAGTCCCAGGTGACACAGGCAGTAACATGGATTATATGCAAGGTACCATTCTGCTGTCTAATTTAGTAACAACGGATGGATAATTTTGCTGTGGAAATTCTAAATGAATAAAATACAAATTAAGCGTGAATAAAATATACAGAGAGAGAATGTAACTGTGAGGTATGTGTGGAGAAAAGCAAACCTTTTGGGCATGACACACAGGCATCACATTGTGGCTTTTGGGATTTATTGCTCAAATACTGATCAGGTCCACATGTCATGCAGTCTTCAGCTGGATTCTGAGGACATGCTTTCTTTTTAACATAGCCTGGAGAAAAAAAAAAAAGGCAAAATATACAAGATATCTATCCAAAATGGGCAGAAAACCATCCTGAAATGTTCTTGTCTACTTGTTTACCTGTTAGATACACTACCACGGGTTATTTGGCTTCTCTAGGCCATTTTTGCCTTTCCTATTCAAGTGTTAAGGTACAGAGCCAGGACATAATCCCAGCTGGAATGGACTGCTGCAGAATGGGCAGATGGCAAGTCACTTGCTGACAGAAAAGACAACCAAGTCTCCAGGAGAACCAGTGTCCTGCCACTGCTAAGCTCCCAGGGAACTGGGTTTCATGTTTCCTTCTTTTCCTCATTTGGTTAAAAGGACTTTTAGAAAAGCTCCTCTTTCTTTGCAGTGAGCCGCTGAGTTAGTAGCAGATATGAACAGGTTAGTGCTTGGAGGAGTAGTGGACAATTAAAAGGATGCTTAGGAAAAGGATTCTTGTAACTTTTATTGTGGAGGAGTCCAGGACTGACATGAGGATGTAGCAATAAAAAACCAGCAAAGGTGAACTGATGGAAACTGGTGGCTCATTACAGTCTGGTGTAAATCAGATCTCTGCTTCTCACCCAACCTTACTATGACATCTCTCATGACAGGAGCTTTGGCAAAGTATGGTTTTGAAGAAGAAAATAGCTTTTCTTGGGACTGTCAAAGTCACATCCCCACCCATTTTTTCTTTTATTGGACCATTTTCTCCATCCCTTGCTCTGATTTACATCTACAACTTTGAAGGACTGTAATGTATTGTAAATGCAGGTGAACACAGTGGGAAGAAATGCTGATGTCTGACTCCAGTTCAGAAAGCTGAATGATTTCTTTATTATAACTATGCTATAATACATTAATATATTATTTAAAGGAGATACTACAACAACCTACCTACTTTTTCTAACAACCAGATCTAACTCTCTGAGAGTTAGACCCTCTCTGAGAGCCCAGCCCCAGGTGGGATGGATTGGCCATCAGGCTCGAACAATCCTCACCAGAATCCAACCAAGCCATCACCCCAGGGAAACAATTCTCTAAACACATTCCCCATGGGAAAACAAGGAGCAGAAATAGAAATTGTTTTCTCTTTCTTCTCTCTGTGCTCCTCTATGAAAAAATCCTGAGGGAGAGAAGAATGTGCCTGCCACACTAGTGGTGTGCCCAGGGGCACAGGATGTCCTGGTGGGAATCCTGATGGTAAAAATACTGGCAATCAAACACTAAAAGCCCTCTGCATCATCAGAACACAAATACAGGTCAGAAATTTCTTTAATAAAAACGATAGAAAAATCACTCCAGCAAGAAGATACAGATGGTGCTGAAGTACCACAAGATACCCACCCACTGAGGGGGTTTTGGCCAGTGGGGCAGTTTCAGACATTTCCAGAACTCTTCTCACCAAGGTGTTTCCTGTTGCTGACCTTATGTGCCTCTGAGTCACACCCAGCTTCTAGCACAGCTTAATGTGTCCCCTGACAAGGGCTTGTTTCCTCCCTCATGTGAGACACTTTCTAAACCGTTGTGACTATGAGAATAATGTCAGATTTTCCATACCTTCATTTTACATTTTTTTATCTCTGAGAAAAAACTCATTTAGCTTAATTTCACTGTGCTCATTCACACCCAGGGGCAAGCTTGAAATTAATTCTTTGACCTGGCTACTTCAGTACCAAGTGATAAAATCCCATAAAAGTTCTATCACGTTGTCTGGTTTGCATGCAGATGACACAGGAGCAGGAGAGTGGAGAAGAGATTCACATCTGGAGCCACATTAGAGAGTGATTCATGAAACTGCCCCTTTCTTCAGGGACAGAATACAACTCTGCAGATACACAGGGCTCCTACTGCCTCCATATAAACTTGGCTGAATTATAAACATACCTGAGGGACACTGGTAACAGCAGTTTTGTGAAGTTTCATCATAGAACCAGTTCTCTAGTGTATCACAGGAATGGCGTGGGCTTAATGAGGTCTAGAAATTGAAAGAGACAAAAGACATAATTAGAAAACAATTAATTCTCTACTAGAGTAGATCCCAGTCTGTCTCAAGCAATGGTGGTTGCAGACAGTAAGGAAAAGCCCAAAGTTTTTTGCAAATTCAAGTGTTCCCAAAGCAACTAAATTCTTGTTCGCATTTCCTTTAGAAACACTGCGGCATTCAGAAAAAAAAAAAAAATTACTGTGCTAAAATTATTTCATGTTAATTGGAGCTAAGGATTTGGTGTAATCCACAGAGGTAATTTCTGTTGTCAGTATCCAAATTTCCTGTAACTTAAACAGTCATACTGTTTGAATTTGGCAACCTAAGTGTGTATTATAAACCAATAAATTATTTTACTTATCATTAAGGGACAAATCCTGCAAGAGGATTTTGCCTTGTAAAGAATTATGCAAATGATTGATGAAGCCCTTATTCAAATAACTGATCCCACTTCTGTTGTGAGTGAAGCTTTTCAGAAATAACCTTTCATCACTACATAACTGATATTTATTTAGTTTCAAAAAAAACCCACCATGAAATAGTTTTGATATTAGCTTACAGAATGAGACCCAACTATAACCTGTAACAAGAAGCACAAAATAAGATTTAGTTTTTGTACGGCTGGGCCACAACATGCTCTGGGAAATTACAGTGTTACAAGTGTTCTGATGAAAATATCTGATTTTTGAATTTGGTATCTCCCTTAAGAATCCCCTAAAGATGTTGTTATCTGAAATTCATTTTCAGTATTTACTAGAAGGTATGAACACTGATTTTTTTTAGCAGAGGGTTTTTTTGGGGTTTTTTTGTTAAGAGTTGATAAGCAGATTCCCTGGAGATTTTCCCACACGATACTGGTAGAGCAGTTAAATATTTCAGAAACTCTACATCTCACTTTCTGCCAATGAATTTCCCACTGGTCTTTGAAATAATACTTGCTGTCACCTGCTGCCTTTGTGCAGAATCTCACTACTTAATCATTTCACAGCCTGTTCTCCTATTAAATATACACAAAAATATAAAAATATAAAAATTATTTCACTTCCATCAGAAAACAGAAGCTTTCAGTCAAGGAGGAAATTAACAGAAGAACAAGAATTAGAAACATATCAAAACTGGAAACCCAGGGCAAGGGGAATATTTCTCTGTCTGCCCTGAGGGATTCTGTAGCTAAGTCAGCCTGGATTAGTTTCTCTGCAAGAGCTGGTGGAAGTCACCACAAATACCTAATTTTTTCCTCCTGGTTCTCCTGGGCAACCAACTCTGGCTGCAAATGAAGCTGAATTTTAAACAAGAGTACAAACTCTTGAATTATTGAATTACTAATGCAGCACATAAGCTTACAGTTTATTTAATTGTCTGGGTTTGGATTTTAATAAAACAATAGTGTCTGTGTAAAAATGTGAGAGAACAGCTTTTTAAAAAGTTACCTTGCCAAGAATATGAAAATCAGGAGTTTAATATTAGATTCTGCTCCTGGTTCCAGCACTCTGATTATGAATTTGAACTGATGGTAGTGCAGTGATAAATCACTGCATGAGCTAGGCCTGCATGAGCTAGATTATGCAATAATACCTATGAGAGAGTACTCAAGCTGATTTTCGCCCTTTCCACGGGAGGGCAGCTCTGCCCTACAGCCACCCACATCACACAGCTCACCCATGGTTCCTCCACAAATACAAAGCTACAAGCACAGCTTTGTAGCCACCTGCACTGCCACTGAGCCAAACCCAAGGTGCTCTCATCTCTCAATTACCCCATCTCTAAATCAGAACTTAATCCAACAGAAATTCATTTTAACAAATCATGGCAAGATGTCTGTGACTGGGAAACCACCTTCTGAAGACCCCATCACATCTAATCCATAAGCAAAATGTCTGTGAGTCAGCATCTGTTCAGTAGAGGTGTTTAATGAGTATAAAAATTAGTGCAGATCCTTTCAGTGATAAATAACATTCATGTCAATGCTCAGCATCAGTCACCATGCCCCCATTCTTGTCACATTTTTCCCTCCAAATTCTAAAGCTGTTTGACTCCTAACATGACCTGTAACAGCAACACAATGATGCAAAGCTGCTCAGCAGGAAGGTTGGTCCCCAACATTCTCTAAGGGGTCAATGCAGAAGTGACAGTTTAATTGAAATAACAGCTGCTATTCTCATTGCACCTTACCTGTTTGTAAATGTGCATAATAAAAAAAAAAACATTAACATTTGAGGAAGATCACACAGGTATTGGAGTAAGGCATGTGGCTGTGGTGGACAGGAGGTCTTTATCCTTCTCTCTGACCTTCTCTTCAAATAAAAGCTTTGGATTTAGCAGCAGCTGGAATTCATCTTGTGAAAGGAAAGATGGCAATTCCTATCCTGCTTGGACTGCTCTGTGACAGATGCACTGGTTTAGAGCTTTCAGTCACTCAGCAAGTCAACTGTTCTTTTTCTTTTCTGAATGCATTGCATATTAAGGACCAATTAAATAAAGGAAACATATAGATCAAAAGTATTTGGGTTTTTCAGCACTTGCTTGAGAGAATTCGTTTTAGAAAATAGGATTTTTGCAGCTCTTCTGACTT